TAAATACTACAATAATAATTAATATTATTCTCTTAACAGCTACAATAATAATATCATTTTATAAAGCTTTTTATTATCAATTTATAAAGCTCATATTCTAATGAAATGAAGGCTTTCCATTGCCTATATTATTTCACAAAGTAAAACCCACTTTATAGGGCTAACTTTGTGTCTTATAGATACTTTCTTAGTAAATACTTTCTTAGCTGATAAATTTTACGATTTTAATTCTATTATATGCATTTTGAGAATACAGACATTTTTTTCAGGGGCGGATCCAGCCGGTGGGTTCAGGGGGTACCTCTCCCTCCTGAGACCTTGCATTCTTCAATACATTCCCTAGTATTTTTTATATCATTTGTGATCGTTTTTGTGGAATGCACGTTCTCTCAAAATTTTCTTGAATTCTTACTGAATACAATTTTGGATCCGCCCCGAACCCATGTATTTTATACTAATTAGTTCTGTCTGATGACTACAATTTAATTATCATTGAATAAAGCTGCAAACAACCGCTTTATCTTTCAATTAGTATTTAGTAATAAGTATATATTTTTCAACAGTCATATTTCAAGAAACAGTTAACGAAAGGTAGATGTGTCATATCTGTCATGTGATTTATAAACTACAATTTAACTCTTATATATTTGACCAGATCCAACTCTATGGAAATCATATCATGCTAGGTTTGTACTATATTGCAGTACTACAATTTTTCTAACGAACGTTAGCTGTCGATCGAGGAAGACGATATTGTAGTTGTCTTTCAAAAAGGATAAAAGTAAGCGTTCCAAAAAAATAAATAAATAAATAAAAATTATGTTAAAGCTAACTAGAGAGAATGTCAGTTTATAAAGACACAAAACAATTCAAGCCGCAATCAAGATATCTCTCATAGTTACTCTGTAACACGCTGCGATATCYAGTTTATTTGTTTGTTTTTGCTCTTATCTGAAAAGTAAAGAACTCAAAGTTGTAGCCGTACTTAAAGAAATATTTGAAAATTGTACAATCTGATTTGCTGACTCACGGGATCTGATCATGCACAAATCACTGTACAAACCACAACTGCACAATTTGTGAATCAAATAAACCAATTATGAATGAAATCCATTGAGAATAAAAAGAAAAGAGAAAAAGATATCCATTGAGACTTGTAAATGTCAAAAAATCTCGGCGAAAACGCTACCGTCAGTCACGTTCGAAAAGTGTAAAAACAAATTAAGTTTGCGCTGCTGGATTGGTCAATTTTAATTATCTATTGATATATAAATTGCCTACATGACACCGACAGTAAAGTTGCATAATTTTCTCGATAAACGCCATATCAGTGCTTACCACTATTCTTGGCTAGGTACAGTCAAAATGGCGGACGTCTCAAGCAAAATAGCTATTACACAGGTTCACCGAATCTCTCTTAATTCAAGAGCATTTTGCATTTCGTCTGCTTCATCGTCTTCGCCAGGATCCTCGTTGGGTGCACTGTTTTMCTTACATGGACATGATACTTTCTGTTGAAGTTTAGTAAAAATAAATTATTTATATACATATAATTATATCATCAAACAATTGGCGTCACACAACGGTATAATCACAGCTTTAATATTGCGTTCATCAAAAGATCAACCAGCATCAGAACAAAACAGCAAAGAAACAAAACAGAAAAAAAGTATATATAAAACAGCAGAGGAATTTTGAGGTTAACAATAACACTACAAACCTGGAATTTGTTTCGCAGTCCTTGCATCATTTGGTGATATAGTTTCTTTGCTTGTGGCGTAGCAAAGGTATATATGATAGGATTGATGGAGGAATTCACTGGAAGAACAAATACAGCAATGACAGCATACACTTGTCCTGTCGGGTCGTGAAACTTTCCAGTAAGCGATAGAATACCAAGCACGATMACTGGCATCCAGCAGCAAAAGTCTGTCAGGACAATYYACAWAATTCTTGTCCCCAGTGACGATGGTTCTCTCGATGACGTGACTCTTTTGGCGGAGCGCTGGACCTTAATAAATACTGCTACATAAGCAACAAGGATGAATAAAAATGCAGCCCCGTTTAATGCCATGAAAATCGCGACGGAGTACTCCCATCCTGCAGGTCGTTCTGAGGAAAGCTGAAAAGGAATGCAAACGGTCGATCGTCCGTAGAATGAAAAACCAGTGGTTTCATCCTTGAAGTAGCTTGGGACAAACAATGGACTGAAGGCGATGAGAACTCCAGATATCCAGACGAGAAGACAAACGCAATGAGCAGATTTTAATCCCAGGCGTTTGCCTTTAAAGTCGAATACAATGATGCTGAAACGTTCAGCGGTRAATACAAGAAGCATCAATACTGAAACTTCGCTGGATAKAGTCGAAATGGCGCCGGCTATTTGGCATGACATACCCGAGCGCCACTCGACATCATGGTCCACGTAGTCTCCTTTCCACAAGGCATCCTGTATCGCTATGAAAAGCAAGTAGATCCCCATAAGAAAGTCAGCCAGAGCAAGATGTCTTAAGAGTAAGGGTTGTACATTAGGTTTATTTCTTGTTGTTCTAGAAAGTTGCTTCCTGCCCAAAACGGTCCACCAAATCATGACGCCAAGGTTTCCAAATATAGCAAAAAGGCCTTGTGTCCATATYCCCGCACGAATAACGATGCTTTTCAGCATATCCTRGCAGCTGGAGAAACRATTTGATTCCGATTCACATTCCTTTAGRGTTGGGATACTCTTTTTGGCATAGCAGCAGAGGATGAAACTGTCCAGTTTCCTGATGATTGAACAGTACGTGATTTTTATTACTTTGTTGACCAAAATAAATGAACAAAAAAAAAAAAAAGAAAAGAAAAGAAAAGAATAAAAAACCTCACGCATAGTGAGTATGGATTTTAACAAATTGCATTACACGTTTACAGATATATGGCGATCGCGTTCGACGGAATTTGTGGAACTAAGAACTATGGAAGACATTTTGCCTTATTTTGTCACCGCCATTATTATATTTACAGCTTAGCTTTAAAGATCTTGTGTAGTGTGCATGTAACTTACAGGTATCTGAGATTTTTCAATTCTGAAAAGACGTCTCGTGATACCTCTGTCTCTTTGATAGTATTGTTGTTCAGAGTTCTGAAAAATAAAATTAAAGCACATCAAGTCAAAAGTATGGTTCAGTTAAAAAAT